AGATTTCTACATTTGAGTCTATGATTGCCGCTTTGTAAAAAGTTTTGATTTTGACTGTGTTGAAGATGGATGGAGAACTGGAGAAGAAAGGCTATGAAAGAGAGAGAAATGAAAAGTAGAAATAAAATGAAGAACCGACTATAGTCGGTTCCCAGTTTAGATGTAAAATTCGGTGACTACGTGGCAGCATAACGTGGAGGGTGCTAGAGCGAGTGAGGAAGGGCGATTGCCCTTAGCATTCCTCATATATATATATATGGGGAAGTTTACTAATATTACACACGGTTTGGCTGAAGAAATTTAATTCCTTAATATGTAAATTAAGATATAATATAATTGATTATAGAAAAAAAAAGTAATATATTGTATTTGCAATATAATCGGTTACTTTAGAGAAACAAGTGATTATATCAATATACAAGTCTGATTTCTACTAATTTTGTTTTTAAATAACGTTGCTTTTGACTTTTTTTTAATTAAAATTTTAAAAATAATTTATGTATTTATCTATATTACTTCTTAAAAAATAAAAAATAAATAAATAATTTATATAATAAGATAATTAATTAAAGTAAATAAATATTAATAAGATCAAAGTAAAAAGGCAAAAAAATAATTGTCTATCTTAAAAATTAAAAAAAAAAACCCTCCCTATACTGTTACTTAAGGGATTTAGAGAAAATAGGTTCTGTTTAATTTTGACAAATATATGTAAAAAAATATTGTAAGGTTGGAGCACTCTCTCAACCCTCATTCAATAAAATTTTCTTTTGTTTGCCTATAAAAATAAAATAAAATAATGACAATTAATTTATGATAAATTCAAAGTTAAAAAATGATAATTATTTTGAAACAAAAAATAAAAATAAAAAGAGAGGTAGAGGCATGGCCAATCGTATGGTTTGCAATTGTATGGTTGATTTGGCACAAGGGATATGAATAACCATAACCAGAGTATTAAGCTGATAAAAGTAAAAATTAACTGTATGTGTTAGGAGTGGGTACAGTTCAATTTTGGTTACAATTGAAATAAAATTATTGGTTACTCAAAATTTTGAGTTTTAAATTTTAATAATCATTAACTAGACTGAGCAAGACAAATTTTATTGAGTTTGGTTACATTTTTAGAGTAACCATTCATATCTATTTTGGTTTTAACCGAATAATTATTTTTTTTAATATATTTTTTGGTTTTTTTTTTGAATTCCTTAATTATTATTTTATTAATTTCAATTACTAAAACAACTAAAATTTAGCCAAATAAATAAATAAATAATTTAGTGAAAATGAGTAGAAAACTTTAGAAAAATTTAGAAACCATTAAAAAATTTCTATAAAAGGTTTTTGGATAAAATATTTGATTATTCTCACCGTAATCATTAGTTGTTCAATTTTTAAATTTAACTATCAAAACCCAAACCAATTGATTCACTTTTGTTTTTAGTCAAACAAACCTACAACCTAATTAAACCCGATTGATCGTTTATAGTTTCATTGGTTTTGTGGGTGTGCACCCGTGGTTGATAGAGACACATCTAGGCATTATAATGGCCCCAAAATAAATTGTTGAGGCTACAAAAATTTTTATATAATATTTTTTAAAATGTTGATTTTTTTTTTTGATTGCATAATGAAAGGTAATCATCTTATTTGCAACAGAATGAAATGATCACTAAATTATTTAAATCGTTGACAAATGTTAATTTTATTTAATTTAACTGTTATAAACAACTAATAACTATAACTATTATGGCAAAAAAATTATAATTATTAGTTGATAAATAATAAAATAACTAACATTTATTACTAAACAAATTAAAAGCAATTTATACACTAATATTTTGAAATATTATAATTAATTAATTAATTATAAAATAAAATAAAAA